TCTGACTTTAAAGGTGAGACCTGCTCTGTGCCAAATCTGCAGCAGAAGTATTCACTTACTCTCTTCCCTTTGTTTTTATAATAATTCTAGAAGTATCACTTCCTCCACTTTACAGAGGTGGATATGGAGCCTCAATGAAATTATCAGTGTTTTTTCCAGGGTCACAGGAAGTACAGAGTCAGGAATCAGACCCAGGCCACAGTGTGAGTCTACTGTTCTTGTCTCTACCTAAAAGCTGTTGAATCCACCCACAAGGGCTGGACAGTCCAAAGCAGAGAACTGATTAGTCAGGACTCAGGGTGACAGTGAATAGATTCCTATTAGCAACAGCTATGATTACTTTGGCCATGAGAGTACCTGAGTTACCTGGAGATTCAGCTCAAAAGCAGATTCTCATCAGTTAGGGCTGAAACTACATTTTTAGTGAGTTCCTAGATGACACCCAGGCTGCTGGTTGACCATATTGAGCACCATGCACTTGAAAATCACTTGATAACTCTTTACAGTTGCTATTTTACAAGTCAGATACTGATTCAATTGTAGTAAGGTACCTGTAATTTTTTTTTTTTTTTTTAAAGTTCACCACATCCAGAGAAAGACAAATACTGTGTTTTTTTGTTTTTATTTATTTTTTCTTAAGTTGTAGATGGACACATTTATTTTTTATGTGGTGCTGAGGGTCAAATCCAGTGCCTCACACATGCTAGGTCTGCACTCTACTACTGAACTACAACTGCAGTCCCTAAATACTGTTTTGAATAGTGGTTACCAGAGAGTGGGAAAGGTATGGGGGTGGGGAATGAAGAGGTGATAGTTAATGAGTACAGGGAGTGCTGCTGGATAGGAGAAATAACTTCTAATGTTCAACAGTACAGTCGGGTAACTATGGCTGATAATGATTAATTGGAAAAAAAATTTTTCAGTGCTATGGATCAAACCCAGGGTACCTCACTTAGTTGAATATTTCAAAATAGCAAATAGTGAGGATTTTGAATGTTCTCAATGCAAAGAAATGATAAATGTGAGGTGACAGACCCTCCAATCAGTCTCATCTGATCATTACATAGTATATACACAGATTTAAATATCATACAATTACAATATATCAATTTTTTAAAAGAAGTTTACCATGTCACTCGCAGTACAACTACAATTAGAACCACTGCCTGAGAGGTGTCGACTTCAAACCCTGGCTGCAGGTCCCCATTTCATCCAGTTCCTGGTGATTATTCCTGGTACCTACCTTTGTTCACCTGCCAGAGATGCTGCAGCAGCAAAGGCAGCGTCTCCTTGACAATGCTGGGATGTGTTGAAACAGCTGACAAAGCTTGCAGACAGCGCAAATGCTGGGAACATTTGGTGGGCTCATCCCCTCTAGCCAAATCTGACTCGCCTGAAAGCAACCCAGGAGACAAAGTTTTACTGTGTGATGGTAGCAAGCATGAAGGCCCCCAAAGCCTTGCTCTGAAGGGCTGGTCACAAAAGATTAGCCATACCTACCTCTGTGCAGCTCCTCAGCAAGCTTGGGTATCAGGTGACTGCTAAAGGCCACAGGGTAGAGTGCAGCCAGGGCTCCTGATGCTTCCAGTGCTGCCAACCTACTGGGGCCAGAGCAGATAAGTATTAGCTGAGTCTTGGCCTACTGTTCTCTCACCAAGGCCTGCCAACAAGCAGATCTAGGAATGTGGGCTCCCAAGGCCACCTTGCTAAAGAGCAGGACTCAAATACCTACACCACTGAGTTGGACAGGGCTTCTTAATGCCCAAGGAAAAAGAGAGAGCAGTCCCACATCTCTCCAACCGGTTAGCATCCAGAGCCAAACACAGAGCCCACCTTCCCTAAGGAGAGACAAGGGTCAGAAGCACAGAGCCCTGGTCCTTGCTGCATCTGTTGCTGCCGTACAGAGGCAGGGAACAGTGTGCTCTACCTCACTGCTTTAGATTCTTACCAACTTTGGGAATCCTCCTCCAGGAAGCTCAGTCTGTACAGGTGACCCACCACCAGCTCCAAGTCCCCAGAAGATAGGAGACCTGTGGTTAGAAGGGAACATGAGTCTCACCTTTCTTCCCCTGCAGCCACTACAACCCTTCCAAAAATCCTATTGGAAATCCCAAATCAACTAGTGTTGCAGGGAGAACAGGGAATGAAAACTGTTCTTCATTTAAGATAGAAAATCACCAGGAGGGGGGCCATACACATATCTTCTCTCTTTTCCCTATGATGTACCTGGCTGGGCACCCAAGACTGTGAGTGTACGGATGCCAACAAGTTGAAGCTGAATGCTGGGGTCTGTTAAGGCCATGAATACCAGTGAGCAAAGCTGGTCCTTGAAGCCACTCAGAGGCCTTTCATCTAGGGAGAGACAGAGGCCAGGTTAGAAGGAAACCCTAATTCCATATCACTGACTCGGCACTATGTACTCATACTCTGAAAAGACAACTCAGAACAGATTTTAAGGGCTTAATCTATTAGGCATCCAGGAATGCACTGGAAAGATAAATAGGTCTCATCCATTCAGTGTTCTCTTGTGCTACAGCCTTAGAACAGGACTGCTATTCTAGACTGTCTCTGTATAGCAATCTGCCCTGCTATCCTTTATAGGCTGCAGATTTCATCAGCCCTCAAGATACCTCAACTGGAAGGTGACCTCACCTTTGTCCTCATAGCTCCATTTCTGCTGCAGCTTCAAGAAACCCAGGATCATTTCAAGGATTGTCCGTCGCTGGTTGCTCTGCAATGTATTAAAGAGTACTAGAGTCAAAAAATATTTTAAAGGATTTCAATCCTGCTACTCTGGAAAAAGGGGAAATTATCCTTTTATGTAAGACTTAAGTCAGTGAAGAGTGAATAAGGGAATGAACAGCAGCTAATGGGAGCAAAACCCCAGATCCCTCTGGGCCTAAGCTAATGTTTTGGTGTCTCTCTCTCTCAGAGTCTCTGAGAAAGGGATCTTGGCATGTTGGTCCAATCATCTCCCTCCCGCAAGACTGTACCCCCTTACCTGACTGTGCTTGTGGAACTGATCCAACAGTAGAGGCAGCACGCTGCTGGTGATGTGGTCACAGGCCCGAGCAGACGCACCTGCGGCTGCCTGCAACAGCTTGGCACTAGGCCACACCAGTTTCATATCTGGTTCACACAGATGGTGCCTGCAGTCTAGAGAGGCAGCAATCACAGACCTGGGGAGTAGGCCAAATGTTGCCTCCTGCCCCTAAAGTCCATGGAGGTTGGAAAGTGAGACCTAGAACAGTTTGCTAGCAGTTACCAAACTGTCTTTAATTCAAATTAGGGCTGCAGCCCCAAATCACTGAACATTGGGGGATGCACATGAAGGGTCATTGGCCCTTGAGAAATGTCATCTCTATTATGCTCACTCCCCTTTCTGGCTGTCATGGTCTCATTACCCTGTAGAATGTTGCTAAGGAAGGAGTCGAGGAGGTCCTCAGCATCAGCCCTCAGCACAGAGCAAGACAAACACGTCGTCAGGGAGAGGAGGGCTGCCAGGCCCTCTGTCTCCACCCGCTCACTTGCTGTCTGGAACACCTGTCAGGGAGGGATCCCATGGCTACTGAGGTGAGCCTGCACCAGATGAGACCCCACCCATCCCCTGTATATTTCTTTGGGGGCAGAGTATTGAGAACTTTAAGGGCACAGCAATGGAAATGGAACACTTCAATGGTGTCTTCATTGATTATCCTCACCAATTCCTTAGTCCCAATAGGATTATTACGCATACTTTTTAAGAAACAGAATGCCAATTCTGTGTAGTGGCTATGGGGATCCACCATCTAAAGTCTCTTTCTTTCCCTCACTATTCAGTATGATATCCACCCCACAACCCATACTCTTTGACATTAGAGGACAGGAAGTGGACATAGTGAAAAGGTGATCATGTGCCCTCAGCATGCAACTGGCTCATGCATAGGAATTCTCTCCCTTGTTACTCAACTAGACTAGAGACTAGACCTTGCTTGCCTGCTGAGTAACCAGGACTAGTACCCTGATCCTGGGGACAATAGGAAAAGAAGACAGTGGGGATTATTTCCCTTCATGCCCGACAGCTGGAATTAATAATAGTGAATTTAGCTAAATAAGTAGCACTCACCTCTCTACGGATAGAAGCCCAAAGGCTGGGGAGGAAGTCCTTCAGTTCTTTCTGTCCATATACAGCACAGCAAGCATTCTACCAAGGAAATAGCAGGCATCAGCTACCTACACATTCAGATGTCCTGAGATACAGGCACCTTGGCACAATGGCACATAAACGAGTCTAGTCCCCAGCAGAATGTTGTAATAGTCCTACCCAGGACCCAGAAAAAGAGGAGCTCAACCTGACTTATGAAAAAGAAGCATAAAGAGGAAGCCCTGGTGAGATTTTCCTTACCACTCAATTACTACAGGACAAGACAATATGTATCTGAGGGCTTTAAGTGATCACATAGGCCCAAATCCTGTGTATACAACTTTTGAGGCCTATGAACTGTTCTCTGGTTGTCCAAGAATCTCTTTATCTTTTAGTACCCCTATTTGGTCTAAAGGGAGCTGGATCCTGTAAGGAGAAAAGTCACTCACCAGAGTCTGCAGAGAATCCAGCTTGGCACTCAGAATTTCAGAATCCACCTTCTCAATCAGCAGGGGGAGTAGGAACTGTAGGAGAGAACTTAAAGCTGAAATAGGTAGTGTCTCAAGTTCAACTATGTCCTTACTGCCACCAGTCTCAAGGGACATCAAGGAGCTATACTCAAGTTAGGAGTAATGATTGTAAGCTAACCTTCCTGCTAAGCAGGCCATACTCCCAGTTACCTGAAAAATGGGCAAGTTGGCAGAGCTGGAGGATTTCAAAAAAGAGCACCATCTAGAGATGGAATTACTATTCTAAGGGATGAGATGGTTAAGTTTTTTATATTGAAAGTCTGAAGATACTTGCCATACAAGACATCTGCAGGATGCCATACCCTAAAATCTTTCTTTTTCTCCATGTTTCACTATTCTTTCTTCAGACTTCTTTTGGCAGACACTATGTACCCAAATCCTGGCTAAGACCTACCTCTGCAAATCGTGGTGTAGAAGCCAGCACAGCTCGAAGACTGAGGATGAGATCTTCTCTTTGGATACCATGGGGATCATTAGGTGGCTGGAAAGGAGAAAGGCCATGAGTTTGTATAATTTTTCAGACCACCTTTGGACACAAAGGCTTGAATCTGGCAAACCTACACAACAGGTGATGTGGTCACAGGTCTAGTCTAGCAGAATAAGAATATATGAGGCCTCAGCAAGAAAATATGCTTGCTCTTATGTGTTCCTTGGAGTTTTTTGTCTTTTAGGCATTTATTTTTGATCTGGTCACACATTTTCTATCTGATCTATCATTTTACCACTCATAGATAAGCACCCATAGCTTTCTGGGAATTGGTTTCTTCTCTGCACCTATATTAATATTATAATGTGTTAGTACACACTGGTTCTCTATAAATAAATGTGATTGCTAGCCAAGGATGGTGGCACATGCCTTTAATCTCAGCTATCTGGGAGGCTGAGGCAGGAGGATTCCAAGTTTGAGGCTGGCCTGGGCACCTTAGTGAGATTCTACCTCAAAATTTAAAAAAAGGGGCTGGACAAGCCAAGGAATACCAAGGACTGACTATATCACCAGTTGCTGGGGGAGAGGCAAGGAAGGATTCTTCCCGCAGGTGCCAACACCTTGATTTTGGTCATCTGGCCTCTAGAACTGTGAGAGTGTAAGTTTCCATTATTTAAACTTAAAAGGTGGGTGGGGGCTGGGAATATAGCTCAGTGGTAGGACACTTGCCTAGCTGAGGCCCTGGGTTTTATCCACAGTACTGGGAAAAAAAAGAAACAGAACAAAAAAATGTGACTGCTCTATATATACAGTCTATAATCTATTTCCTCTGTTAATATATTAATAAGAACATTTAAAATGGTATTATTCTTACATAACATGTTTTAGTGGTAGATACTATTTCATTGTGTGGTTCAGACACAGTTTATATAAATAACAATCATTTGACAGACATTTCTGTTTCTTCACCCATATAAAAACTTGTAACTCTGACAACATAAGCATATATAGTTTCTGTGTCAAGATGGCAGATCTGAAAACACTGAATCAGATTTTCATTTCTCCTTTGAAAACTACACAAAAAATACAATAAAAGGGATCTTCTTTTTTTGAGGACCTAAGGCTAAAAGTTGCAGATAACAAGGGAAAAGCCATCAGCAATAAAATTTTAGAAGCTGAAAAGCAAATAGATATGAAGAAAATGACTTAACAGACATAAGACAACAGAATCCCAGGTAGACTCTGGGCAAGCTAAATCACTACCCATACATACACTGCACAGTCCTCGAAAGGCTTTGGGACTGCAGTTCCAGGAACCTCTGGAGTTGGGAGTGGGGCTAGAGAAGCAGCCTGACTTTCTAGACTGACTTCTAGCTCCTCATTAAAGGTAGCAGAATCTGAGGTTTAATTTTCTGGAACAGGGGTCTTAAATCTTAGAGCTGCAGGTATAGTGGTGAGCCTCAGTGCTGCACCAAGAGATGGGGGTCTAAGTGATAGGTACTGAGTGCTGGTATTCTCAGCTCCCTCTGCTTGTCATCAGACCTATCCTGATAGGCAGACCTAAGGTCTTTTTTGAGAAGTACTGGACTAGCCCAAGAAAAATAATATTTGTGGAGTTCTTCAACTTTCCAGTAAGCCATTCTATGATGAAGCTCACACTTAATAAGTACACTTATAACCCTCACTTAGAAACATGTAAAAACTCCCAAGAACTTGCCTCCAGAATAAAATGAAAAAAAGGACTAGGGATGTAGTTCAGTGGTAGAGCACTTGCTTAGCATATGCTAGGCCCACTATCAGGGGAATTAAAAAAAAAAAAAAAACAAAAAACAACCTGGTAGCCAAAGCAGGATCTTTCAAGATTTCAAAGGCATAAAGTTGTTCTGAGGTAGAAAGGTCACTGATTATGGAAGATATGAAAATAATTTCAGGGCAGAAGTGATCCCAAGAAACAATGCCAAATGAAATAAGTTGGTAATTCCCTATAGCAAAAATGGCTGCAGCACTTCAATTATTTTTATTTTTTATGGCACTGGGGATTTAACCCAGGAGTGCTCTACCACTGAGCTACACCCCCAGCCTTGTTTATTTTTTTGGGGGGTGTCGGAGGACAGGGTCTTGCCAAGACTGGCCTCATACTCATTATCCTCCTGTCTTGGCCTCCCACCAAGTCACTGGGATTATATGTGCAGTGCAGCACAGCATTGAGCCTGGTTGACTGTGCACTCTGAAGGCAATGACAATCAATACTCAAATGTTGCTTGCTGTGCTGCAATAGAACTCTTCATTTCTCACATAGTACTAATGTTTGTAGTACACATACCCACGCATGCCTACACAGTAATTAGATCCTGTGTATTTTGAAGTAAAAAAGAAATCAAATGCAAAGTGGGAGGAAGGCCTGAGAGGGTCACAACAAATATCTCCTATACATACTGTGCTTGATTGTTCCTTTTTTGTTCTGCCAATTTGTTGTTATCTCCTGAGATGCCCTTTCCAATTCCAGAATCATATCCCATGCATTCCTTAGAAACAAACTGAAATCCTATCTTATCTATGAGGTCAGTACCTGCCTACTTGAGCTCACACTGAATTCTGTCTTCTCAGAAAACTATAGTATCACTCATTTTGGTACCTAATCTCATATTGTTACTTAAATGTTTCAGCTTTCAAGGGCATGGACTATGTTTCACAATCCTGTACCCCTCAGCACCAAGTATATTGTCAAGGAACTTAAGGAGTACCCTCAAATACTTGCTGATCTGAATTCTTCCTTAAATGTCAAATGCTTCTCCATTTCCCAGTGAATTAAAATGTAAATTAATGAGGATTTCTAAACATAAATCCAGGAAATGTCTGTTTTGTTCACATGTGTCCTCTGTGCCTAGAACAGTGCCTGTACATAGCAGGTACTCAACAAAATATTTAAATGAATAAACAAAGGTGCTTCTTACAGGAGTAAAATCAATAGGGAAATAACAGGATGTGACTTCAAATAACTCCTCCACAAAGGGTCCTGTGACAACAGAGAAAGAATGAGGTTGAATTATCAGTTTCATTCACCCAAGAAGCCCGAATCAGCTAATTCATGGCCACTAAGACATACCCAGGCTATAGTCCCTGGAGATGAGATCATGGACAATGCGGAATGCTACCAGAAGATTACGAGGATCCTTTTCCCCATCCATCACCTGGATGAAGCCAAATGTGAAGTCAGCTCCTAGGCCTTTTAGCTCTGGGAAGGAGAGAACAAGGTCACTACTGTCCCATGGGATAGAAAGTTCAGACTTTCTCCTAGGAGGCCTGTGTTCTCCTTCTGTTATCACTTGCTCCTCTCTCAGAACAGACCGTTATTGTCTTCCTATCTCAAGACAAAGTACTCAATAAAGGGATGAATACAAAAACACACACACACACACACACACAATTAAAAAATATATATATATATATATATATATGTATAATTTTAGGATAAAAATGTAAAAAACTTTATATATTGCAGAAGGGGAGAATGGACCCCCACTCACTCTTCATCATTCTGAGTACTGGCTCTTATCTATATAACCCCCAGGCTAAAATGCATCCTACTAACGGGAAAAAAAAGTAGTGTGTGCTCACTTTCAGATTTTCTAGTGAGTCCAGCCTCTTACCTTCTTCCCGAGTTCGCATGAAATTGGTGATGATACTGTAGACTGTATGTCGGTCTACCTGGAGCAGGGACTTGAGGGTAGGGGAGAAAGGAAATCAAAAAAGAGGCTAAAATATACCTCAGCTGATACAACTACTTCCTATTTTATAATCTCTAAATGGATAACTCTTTATACCAGCATAAGATCAACCTAAGAGGAACTGTAGAGAAAGGGTATGGCTACTGACCAGCATGGCAGTGATGTCAAAGCCCAAGCCTGTCTTTCTTTATGCCTTACTTTCTTTAGGCTAAGAGGACATAGGTCAGACGTAATGGCATGCATCCCTCCCTCTCCTTATCTAATAAGAAAGTATACCAATATAAATATGGTCATAAGACATGAAAGAATTTAGAATTTAGAAAGCAATATGTTTTGCCATCTCATTCTAGTTACATCAAGGGGTAGGGGATGAGAAGAATACCACTGTGACAGTTATTACTCACCTGTACATGTACTTCCTGGAAGATGGCTTTAAGCACAGACACAGCCAGCCCTGGGGGCAGGGCCACACATAGGCTCTGGGGAGAGAAGGGAAGATATGTGAACACTGATGGAATTAGAATATACTTTCCAAGACACAACCTAAAAGAGGCCTAGTTAGCTCTGGTGGGAATCAGAACACCCTGGTTTAGGAGGAAACACTAACAGGAACTTTCTACATCTAGCTGGTAGCTCTCTTCCGATTCAGCTGAATTCCAGTCCCCCAAAGGTTACTTTTACTCTTTGGAGTAGAAACATAAGTAGGGCTGGCTAACACTAATCTAGTCCCACATTTGGGTCTCTGTCCTTTTAGCACATAAAGCCTTACCCTCAAAGAGCAAGGAAAGAACTGGACAGGGCTCCCGTGAATACAGATAGGTAATGAAAAGGAGAACTCACAAGTGCCCTCAAACCCTGCAGGACAGATGGGATCACAAGATGATGGTCCTTCAGCCGGTTCTCATAGAACAGGATCAGGTGTACCACTGCACAAACCAGATTCAGCCATTAGTTCATGCAGGCGTAAGGGAGGCCCACCAGTTTTGCTCCTTCCCTCAGTCTCTAAGGCTGTCCCAGTCTGGGTTTCACTACAAAATATTTTCTTTCACCCTGAGATATATCCATGCCTTCCCACAACTGGGAAGAAAAGGGTGAAAGAAAATATTATCTATTCTCACATAGATCCACAGTGAAATCCACTCTCAGTTCCAGAACTGCCTCTCTACAGAATTGGGGTCTGCAGATTTTCTTCTTTCTTCCAGTGCTGGGGACTGAATCCAGGGCCTCACATGTTCCACCACTGAATTATACCCCATGTCCCTAAAAGTTGTTGTGTTCTTATTTTTTTGATGCTGGGGATGAAACCCAGGGGCTGCAAACTTTTCTTCTTAAAGGGCCAGGTAGTATTATAGGCTTATAGGACATGGCATCTATTGCTATTATTCAAATCTACCACTGTAACCTAAAAACAGTGTAGATAATAGGTAAATAAATGGTTGTGGCTGTGTTCTGACAAAATTTACTTTTCTTCTCCAGCTAAGATACAGTACTGGAAACATTACTTTGTCCATTTTATAGACTGGGGAAGATACAGTGAAAAAATTATCTAAAGCTATAGTTGAAACCCATGGGTCTCATGGCTCAGCTTTTACCATCTCAACCACACATACCAGTGAGGAATGAAGACCCTGAATTAGTAGTTTATAGATATGTTACACTCTCCCTCCTATAAAGTTAATTTGAACATGGGATGCCTTGGTTCAGCAATCTGGGAAGATATTCCTACTAGTGATGCCAGTACCTTCCTTTTCCAGGAGCAAGGAGTAACACTGGAGTAGCACCTGTGACAAAAGTTGGATCCCTCGTGCCCGAGTTCGGGGTTCTGGACTCTCTAGAGAGGACCTGGAAGAAAATGGGATAGAGACAGTCTATTATTAACCTGTTCAAACCTTTGAAGTAATAAACACTCTACAATTGGTCACACTCAGCCTCTGGACATAGAAGCGTAAAAGAGTAAAAACATTCTAGAAAGGTGCTCAGTTAAGAACTGAAGCCTGAAGAACTGATCCCCAGATGGATCTGGCATTATTAGAGGCACATGTGACACCACAGCCAACAGAAGTTACTGTTTCCAGGCACTCCCATCTTGACACCTAATAAGAATTGTGCTTATTCTCTTCTTCCCAGTAATATGACTGTGACATTGATACTCCTGAAACAGAACTTAGCAGCTACCCACAAGACTTGAGAGATAACTGGCAGCTGCAGCTTCTAGCAAAACAGGAGAAAAGGTATATTTTTATAAATTACTGCTAAGGAAAAAATGCTGAGAACCACTACACCATACCAAAGTCCTAGGTGAAAACAACTCACACAAAAAAACCCCAACACAAAATCCCCAAACCTTATCACTGAAAGGTTACAAAGATGGCCAGAATAAAGGTTTTAACTATGTAAAACTACTGATATGGGAGAAGCCGCCCTGAAGCAACAAGGTGATTTACCTTCAAAATAGCTCTACAGAGATTACAAATAAACATACTAGACACAAAACAAGCAGGAAATAAATTCTTGGTAAGGAGCAAGTGACAATAGTTACAGTAAACCTCAAGGATAAAGGCATATAATAAGGAGTAATGGAGCAAAAATAAGATCCCTTCTGACAGGATCTGTAGGATAGGAACTTATAGGAAAACTTCTCAGGAAGTAGAAAATTATGCACTCCCAGCGCTTATAAATGAACCAAGGCACACAAATACTCATAGCATCGTTATGCAGAATATCCAAAAACTGAAAACCCAGATACCCATCAACTTAACCTATACAATGGAGTATTATTCATCAAGCCAAGAAATGTATACTGCTACATAATATCTAACATGGATGAACCTTGAAAATATGCTTTGTGGAAGAAGTCAGCCACTAAGGTCACATATTATATAATTCCATGTGAAAATTAAATTTCTAAAATAGGCATATTCCTAGAGATTGCAAGGGCTGAGAAGAAGGAGGAAGAAGTAATGAATGCTAATGAGCATAAGTTTCTTTTTGGAGTAATGAAGATGCCCTAAAATCTGCATAAATCAATGAATATATTAAAAGCCATGGGATAGACACTTCAAAATGGAGAATTATGCTGGATGTGGTGGTGCATGCCAGCAATCCCAGCAACTCACAAAGCTGAGGCAGGAGGATCACAGTTGGAGGCCAACCTCAGCAATTTAGCAAGACAAAAAGTGAAAAAGGCTGGGAATGTAGTTTAATGGTTTAGATTAAACCATCCCTGGGTTTAATCCCCAATAACAAAACAATAACAATAACAAAAGGTGAATTTTATATGTGAATTATATTACAATAAAACTAATATTTAACAAAAATGAACCAAGGCCACAAGAATGTATATCAAAAGTTATACAGAAATGATGTGTTATGTGGGAGAAATGCTGAATAGGTGATTTAGGTTTTTAAATTTCCCTCATTTTCTAGTTTTCCCTCTTGCTTCAGAAGACATGCTGGCTGTGACAGTTAACAACCCTTGCTAATAAAGCTAATCAATTTAAATGGTCCCCCAATTATAGAATATGAAGAAGGCAGGCATTAGACTATAAACAAATTATTTTCTAGGGAGGATGGAACCCCAGATTTTAAAAACACTGCTTTTAGCTGTTTCCCTAAGCCTTTTCCCTCAGTGGTGATCTGGTGTGAGGTCTGCCTCCTGGCCACTTTCTAGACACAGTCCACAGCTTGTCTGCTTCAGGTCCAGGTCATCTAGATCCTATAGAGGCTGGGTGAGCCTAAAGAAATACAAAAGGTATTCTTGCTCTAATTAAACAACAGTGGATGGCCTTCAACCAACCACCAGGCCCAACTTGTGGAGCTGTGTACCTACAAGTTGTGTGCTTCCTAACACTACCTTAAGCTTTAGTCAGACATGGTATCTTTTCAGAACAATTCAAAGATGTAAGCTTAGTCTGAAATACTGATAGAAAGGGGTTTTTGGATATGGAGGAAATTCGGGCTCCAGGAAAGCAGCAATGCATAAAAATAATTTTCTCAGAGTTCATAGGCAGGGCTAGAAGAGCATTCTAGAACAAAGACTCTTACCCAAGGGCTTCCACCACTTGTAACACTGTGTAGCTGCCAGATTTCACATCTAGAGGAAACAAAGAAATTATGAAAAAACAAAAATAAAACCCCTATTACAGGGTTCCATCGCTCTAAATACCAGTGCTTCCTGCCTACCCTAGGTGTGATACCATGGGGCCCACTGCACTTGCCAAGAACCCCTTCCTAGATAAGAAGTGTTACAGTAACACTTCAGATATGCAGCTTTCAGTATAAAAACTAAAGAGAAAGTAAATCATTTGGAAATTATTTATAATAAACCCAAGAGAAATAAAAAATAATTTGTTAAGATAGCTGGGTACAAAGTTAGTATTATGAA